TGTCCCTCCTCTATTCCCCCGCCCCCCCCCCCGCCCGGCAGACCGCAGTGTGTGATGCTCCCCTGCCTGTGTCCATCATTCTCAGCAAACTGACACAAGAACAGAAAATCAAACACCACATGTTCTCACTCCTACGCGGGTGTTGAGCAATGAGTTATGAAGTTTTTAATCATGAGATGTCAATTGCCTCCTTAAGAGAATTTTTAGAAGGGGATACTTTCATTTTCTGGAACCGATGAGTTAGCTTTGACAGAAACAAAATGTATAAGCTAAATTAAATGGTGACATTACAAAAAACTGAGATCTGAGATTAATTCATTAAAAACAACATCAAATGATTATTCATTAACTTGGAGAGCTTGTTGCGACAATTTTATAAGTTTCGTAAGAGACAACAAAAAATGAAGGAACAATGTCACCAGAAAAGGTGGGTGATTTGCACCATGTGATAGGAATGGTTTTAGGCCAATAGTAAATGCAATTAGACGATGAGGCACGTCTATGATTGATTTATGCCTATTCATTTTAACATTTTGTACATTGTATGGGAGCTACGTGAATGAGTTTAGACTCATAGCAAGAGTAGAGCAAGAAATAACTATAAAGTCATAGCCTATTCTTTGAAGTCAGTGTTTTGCAGGTAGGCTGATGTTTGAGCTGGCACATGAGTCATTTCTAAGTCTGAAAGAAACATTTTGGACAACACAAAACCAGCAGAAATGCCTTAGCTGATTCATGAGGTGCACAGGAAATTGGATAAGCTGATTGATTGATTGATTGATTGATTTAGAGATGGAGTCTGGCTCTGTTGCCAGGCTGGAGTGCAATGACATGATCTCAACTCACTGCAACCTCCACTTCCCAGGTTCAAGCGATTATTTTGCCTCAGCCTCTGGAGTAGCTGGGACGAAAGGTGCATGCTACCATGCCCAGCTAATTTTTGTATTTTTAGTATATACGGTGTTACACCGTGTTGGCCAGGATGGTCCCAGTCTCTTGACCTCGTGATGCATCCTCCTCAGCTCCCCAAAGTGCTAGGATTACAGGCATCAGCCACCCTGCCTGGCTGATAAACTGAATTTTTAAAGAATGGTGAACAAATCTTAAAATTTGCATAGGAATAGGGATATTTGGCCAATTATCAAAAGATATATATATATATACCATATCAATTTAAAATTTTCAGTGATTTATTGGTATGAAACTTCCATTCAATATGTGACTGGCAAATCTCAAAGGATGCATCATTATAATTACAATACAAGCTGCATAAAAAGCCAGTGCTTGAAGTCACGCTTCTAGAAAGAAAGATTTGCAAAAGTTAACAGGATTTCCTACTTATTCTGCTATTATAATATGCAAATATCATGGTAATAATAGATAATTATGCTTAAATAACTGTTACTGTCTCTCTGTAAATTTTTTTTTTAAATTTATTTATTATACTTTCAGTTCTGGGGTACATGTGCAGATCATGCAGAATTGTTACATAGGTATACACATGCTTTGGTAGTGGTCTGCTGCATCCATTACCCCATCATCTATGTTAGGTATTTCTCCTAATGCTATCCCTCCCCAATCCCCCGACCCCCTGTTATTACTCCCCTATCTCCCCACCTCCCAGGTCCCAGTGTAATGTTCCTCTCCCCTCCCTGTGTTCATGTGTTCTCATTGTTCAACACCCATTTATGAGTGAGAACATGCGGTGTCTGGTTTTCTGTTCTCGTGTTAGTTTGCTGAGAATGATGGTTTCCAGTACTATATATATATATATATATATATATATATATCTTTTTATAGTATTCATATTTTGAAAACATTATTTTCTATTTTATTTTTTTCTTGAAACAGCCTTGCTCTGTCACGCAGGCTGGAGTGCAGTGGTGCCATCTTGGCTCCCTGCAACTCCCAGGATTAAGCAATTCTTGTGCCTCAGCTTCCCAAGTAGCTGGGATTACAGGTGCATGTCCACCATGCCTGGCTATTTTTTGTATTTCTAGTAGAGATGGGGTTTCACCACATTGGCCAGGCTGGCCTCAAACTCCTGACCTCAAGTGATCCACCTGCCTCAGCCTCCCACAGTGCTGGGATTACAGGCATAAGCCACCTCGCCCAGCCTGAAAACATTATTTTCAAATCACATTTGAGCTAATATTTATAAAGTCTTCCTCATCTAAAATAGCAACACAACATTTAGTACAGAGATTTGCTTAAGTACTAGCTCTTAATCAGAATTATTTAAGAATTCTGAATTCAAGCAGTCAAGATACACTCATTGGCTCTATTCTTTTACTGAGACCCTGTAAGAATTTTTGAATACTGTCTGGCATAGAAGTTGTGGGGAAGGGAGTGAATGCTTTCCTTTCTGTTTCCCATCTACCTTAAAAATCATATTTTTTATTATACTTTAAGTTCTGGAGTACATGTGTAGAACATGCAGGTTTGTTACATACTTATATATGTGCCATAGTGGTTTGCTGCATCCATCACTCCGTCATCTATATTAGGTTTTTCTTCTAATGCTATCCCTCCCCTAGCTTCCCACCCCCTGCCAGTCTCCAGTGTATGATGTTTCCCTCCCTGGGTCCATGTGTTCTCATCGTTCAATTCCCACTTATGAGTGAGAACATGCGGTGTTTGGTTTTCTGTTCTTGTGTCAGTTTGCTGAGAATGATGGTTTCCAGTTTCATCCACGTCCCTAAAAAGGACATGATCTCATCGTTTTTCATGGCTGCATAGTATTCCATGGTATATATATATATATATGCCACAACTTCTTTATCCAGTCTATCACTGATGGGCATTTGGGTGGTTCCAAGTCTTTGCTATTGTGACCAGTGCCGTAATAAACATACGTGTGCAAGTGTCTTTATAATAGAATGATTTATATTCCTTTGGGTATATACCAGTAATCAGATTGCTGGGTCAATGGTATTTCTAGTTCTAGATCCTTGAGGAATCGCCACACTGTCTTCCACAGTGTTTCCGTTTGAATTCTTGGGACACTTTTTAAATTTTCTCATTGAAACTATTGGGAAAGATTAAAGGAATTTAACAGATCCACTTTATCAGACTGTTGTCATCTCTGGCTCCCTATCCAAATATAGGAGATGATTTTAGAACGTTCCATTGAACCCTCCTATTCTAGATTATGTCAGGTTGACATAAAATGAATTTCTCTTCACCTCAAGGTGAAGCCCAGAATTGAACCGTGATATTGTGCGTGACTGGGACTCCCTCCAACTCCAATGAAAAGGAAATACACAATCCTACCCATGAGTAGAGGAAGAATTTCAAGTGCTATGATAATCATGAGGCCCCTTGTGCAGAGAGGAAACCCCTATGCAAGAAGACTTTGAGGCTATCAGGCAAGATCTGTGTGTTGGGAAATTGACTACACACAATAGGGAGAAGGCTCCTAGTAAGATGCATGATTAATAATGTATGGGGTATGTTGAGGGAGGCAGAGTAAGAGAAAAAAAAAAAAAACTCTTGTGACACCTGGAACACAGACTATACTAACTATAAAACAGAACCTCCTGCACTTACTGCCTTAAAACTGAAATCAAAGGGACCTGTGTCTTAATTTGGCCCAGCAGCCAGGTTGTATTTACCTTTTTTTGTTTCTCATCATCAAAACTCTTGCTTTTTGCTCCCTATCCAGTCTTCCACATTTCAGTAAATAAAACCAATATCCACCCAATATATCAAGATCAAAACCTAAAAGTCATCCTTAACTCCTTGTTTTCTTTACTCCCAGTAGATTCTGTTGATCTAACTTCTAAAAGACATTGTGAATCAATCCACTTGTGATCTCCATCATCTCTTGCCTGGCCTTTTGCAATCACTTTCCAACTGGCTCAGGAGGTTCACTCTTGCCATTGTCCAATCCATCCTCCACAGAACAGAGTGGTCCTCTAAACAGGCAAGTTGGACCTTGGAACTGGCCTGCTTGAAAACCTCCAGTGGCTTTGCACGTCACTATGAGTGCAGCCCAAACTTCCCCACCATGGTTCCCAAAGTCCTCTGTTATCTGTCTGGCTCCAGCATCTCTCTTACTTTCCCTGTTCCCTTTATCTCCCTAAGTCATGAGGCTCCTTTGCCTTAATTCTGTTTTTCAAGCACATTCTCCTTAACATATTTTCTGTGGATAACATACTGCACTATTTTACAACATAAAACACAATGATTGAACTATTTAATAATAAAAAACTTGTACCTCTTTGAGTAGTTTGTGTTTCAATGGTTTTGTGTGTGAGGGGCATTAGATAGCAATTTGGAACTCAGAAACTATTTTTACCATAAAAACCATGTGATACCTGCTTGTTTATCTCTAGACAGGCCCTAAAATGCACATTCTTGGGTCCTTCGGTAGAATATGTAGCCAGACTATCTTGGGCCAAGTGAAAATCTTCATTTTAAATAGATTTTCATATAATCAAGCTTCAAGGAAAGTAAATGGAGCTGGCAGAGGTGCTGGGATAGAACAGGACAGTAAAACAGGTAGACAAAGTTGGAAAGGAGAAAAACGAACCCTGAGCAATTTATTCTTCATAACACCGAGAGCAAGTCTTTCCAATTTTCCTAAAGGAATCACACTGTACCTGGTAAATTGCTCCCTGGCCAGTCCATGATACTGTACCAAACAAGGGTGTGTTATAGGAGCCCTGAGTAGACTATAGAAAACCTAGGATTTGATACCCACCCAAAGATGCCATGCACTTTTCTTTACACTACTTTAAGGATATGAATATGTTGAAAACATTGCTTTATTGTGACAGGGAAGGGAGAGAAATGGTGGCGACTTTAGGATTTGCTGCCAGCCTAATCTTCCTTTTCACAGACACTGACACTGTAGACTAGGGATGAAAGCATTTCCTTTCAAATTACTGGAGAAATTCAGTATTACCAATTTCGCTGTGAATTCCTAATGGGTGCAAACATTTTCAGTGCAGATAAAGTGGTAACAGACATCTGAAAGTCACAGATACTTTACCTACCTTTTAGCGCTGAGTCTGATGCCCCTTCTAGGGAAGCTGAAATTGTCCATGGCTCTGAAGGGGGCCCCAGAGACTCCACTCTTCGATTCTAGAAATGGGAATAGGAGGAGGGAGGAAGAAAAAGTTGGATTCAGAAGAGGATTTTGTGAAGTTAGAAAAGAAGATGGTTCAGATGTATGCTTTTATAAAGCACTTATTCAGTAGAAATAAAAGAAAGTGATAAAAAAAAGTTGTCTTTCTCATGTTAAGAGTATATCAGAATTAACTTACTGAAAGAAGAGTAAGGAAATTATTGCAAGACAAGTTGGGACAGGACAGTGAGAAGATGAAAGGAAAACTACATTTATAGAAAAGAATGGCACTATGTGCTGAAGGTTCATAAAAAGGAAAGGTAAAGAGAAATAAACAGGAGCAAGCTGGGTGAGTGCCAGACTAGATCAAAGTTGACAGGTTTCCAAGTGTGGACCTCAGTGCCACAGATTTCTCTCTGCAAACATGCCAGGGGATGTATTTGTAAACAGGAGAAAGCCAGTTCAACAATCATAGTTCCCTGTGAATTTTGTAAATATTGAAAAGACAAAGTAGAATCAGGACACAAAGTCTGAAATTAGAATTAAGCACAGAAACTTGTTTTACTTAAACACATATAAGACAGATTAAAAGAAATAAATAAATAAAACTGTAATGCATCTATAATGTCATAAGTTCCTTCATTAGCACATGAAAAACTTCAGATATAGATCTTATTTGTAAAGGCTAGGTTTCAAAGAAGATGTGAGAGACCTACTTTAAGAATTCAGTGGGGGAAGAAAAGTATCAGAATTTGATTTTTACCCTTGATCAAATGCTGAATGTTCAGAGAAAATGGAAGGCAGACTGTGAAGGGGAAGGAAAATGATGAAAGTAGTGAGAAGCTCTAAGTGCAACAAATTGCACACAGTGGGCACTCTGTAAATGTGTGTCAGTGATGACAAACTCTAAAACCTACACTGAATGCTACCTACTACTCAGCTCTGAAGGCCAATTGATACCTGTGAAACGTTACCTGCTGATCCAAAAATACCAGTTGTGGCTGCACTGGAAGCTCATTTCCCACTTCTCCATTTGAAGGCTGGACTAGGACGGAAAGTGCATAGGGTCGAATATATATCAAGTTCCCAGTCTTAAAACTGCTTGTATTTCTGGCAGATATAAAAACAAACAAAATACATCCTTAGGATTACACATATCCCTGTGGTTGCAATTTTCCACAATCCATTATTACCAGTGAAAATATTTTTGTTTGCCTATGTCTCTGGAAAATAATACACTGTGTAGTGAACATGATTTTATAGCAAAGGTTAATTATGTATGTATTTGATATGTTTTTTTCACTATAATGAAAATGGACTGGGGGTAGGGAAAACCACAAATTATGAGCTTATTTTTTTTCACCATTTATTAAAGTCAGTCAAAAACTAAAAGCCTCAGTGAAAGAATTTATCAGACTAAAATTAGAGGACATGGACATGTTCAATAGTAAGCTATTAAATAAGCTTTCCCAAATAATGCCCTGATTTGTGTGTGTGTTCCAGCTCTGTGATATAAATACTACCAACATAGCTAATTCCAAGCTGCCAAGATAACATCACTGAGCAGAGTTGGGAAGAGATGCCCAACAGCAAACTCCAGTACACCACTGTTTTACACAGAACAGCTCATTTAATCTTCACAACAAGCCATATTTATATTCTGTACGTGTGCTTGTACTAAATAGATTCAATAACCATTAACAGCATAAATTAATTAATTTACCTTAGTGGCATGAAGCACCTGAGGAGAATAATACTTATAATTGATATTTACTGAGCACTTACTGTATACCAAGTACCATGATAAAGTGTTCATGTGTAAATTCATTGCATCTTTAAAATGATACTATGAGGTAGGTACTCTTGTCTATATGTGAAGAAACTGAGGTCCAATAAGGCTTCAATAACTTGCCAAATATCCTACAAATAGTAAGTGTTGACCAAGATCTAGAGTGGTTAACCAATGAGCTATATTGCTTCTCACTTCCTTTGAACATATTAAGTGCTGACGTGACTTAGCAACAAAATGGAGCACATACAAAATAGTTATATAATTCACGGCAGGGAAAATGTATTTCACTCAGAGTTTTGGTATGTTGGATGACAGAGCCTCCTTCACTAAAATAAAATTATACATCTATTGTCCCATTAAGCATATTGTGTATTACATATCACAGGCATGCAACAGATATTTGGCAACCCTAAATGGAGACACCTGGACATCACATATCATATATAGGATCCTGACATAAAGCATCCCTTGGTGAGTTATCCTCAATAGCCTGGGCCAGGTCTAATGAGGCTTTTATTTACTTATTTATTTTTAAAGTAGCCTACTTTGCTTTCTCCCATTTAATGTTTGTAAGTCAACTCTTCTATTTCCTAACTACCTACCCTTTCCAACATGAGGAGGAAAGGATAAAGTATGTATTTAACGTGGAGGGTGCATGTCAGAAAAAAGTGAAGATTTGTTCTGAAAGAGGAAATAGTGGAAGGGCAAATACAATGGATTACAAAATACGAAGTTTCCATAGGAAGTGATTTTCTTCTCCCCTGAGAATCCTAGGAAATGCAGGCAGAGTGCAAATATGTGGTCCTAAGAAGCCCTTTAGTCATCTACCAGCTAAGACCCTGGATTTTTGACTGGAGTCACTCCTTGGGAATTCAATATACACTAGCCCAATCATCATTTCTTAGTTTGCTTAGCCTGAGTGGCTACGGCTCCTTTCCTTTTTAAAGGAAACAATTTAAACCAGATTTTAAAAATCCAAGCTATTAATTCTATCCCTCTATGGGTTCCAGGTTATTAGAAAATTCTAACATTGTTATCAGATCCTATTTCTCCCCTAACCTATTCCTTAATTTCATTCTGATGGGGGCTAGGATGCAGGCAAGCAGTCTGGGTTAAAGACACTGAAAGACCCCATCAAAGATTCTGACATAAGTACATTGACGTCTAGAGATGAAGGGAGGGAAACCAACTGCCTGAACACCCACTAAAAGGCCCATTCCTGACACACTTTAAAGTTTATTGTGAGCAAATATCTCTTGTTAAATGTAAACAGCATCTCACTGGAGGTCACAGACTTGCTGCTGCAGCATATCCCAAGGTAATACCACTTTAAGCTCCACATAAACTCTTAAACAGTTTCTATCCTAAAACCTGACCGTAGGTGGTACAGTTTTTTACGATATGTTATAATAGTGCAATAAATCTGTTAGCTTAAAATCGAATCTCCATGGCCTTTTAGAGAAATCATCATTAAATGCAGGGTCCTGTTAATGATGCCATCGAAGTGAAATTGTTTAATCTGCTAAGGGGGTGAAAGGTCACCAAATGAATTTTTTATAATACATCAACTTGACACGCAATAGGGAAAACTGTAATAGATAAAAGCAAAGGAAAAGGGCACTGTCTTCTTCTGATAGGTCAATAGCAGCCAAGAGAGTCACTCATCCACTTTCCTTTCACGATGGGGCTCCTTTTGCATTTAATATGGACACCCAATTAATACCTCAGCACCACAGACAACCTCATTTTAGGTGACTTATAGCAATTTCTCCCCCTTCCCTGAAATGAAAGTGATCACAATACATCATAGCATTGTGCGAATTAACGTTAATTGATTCAAGTTACCAAGCAATGATGGGCCACTTATATAATCTAGGCGTTATTGGGTGCTAGAAGGGATGGAGGGAAGATTAGATTCCAGTGTCCGTTGCTGTGACGACGGGAGTCACCTGACGCCTTGTTAGACAGTTGTAAGGTTCTATTGCTGGCCCCAGTGGGGTCGTCAGTAAACTGGAGTGATGTCCAAACATCATTACATGCTGCTCCAATATTAAAGCAAAGGGATTAGCAACTTATTGCAAGCAACCTGGATTTGTCATTGTGCTGTCGTTATCCAATTTCCAACTGCTAATGTGACTGTAGCCTGCAGGCAGAAGGACCTACAGCCAAACTTTAAAAAATGGGGGAGAAAAGTTCCCTCCATTCATCCCAGTTTTTACCATTATTTAACAGCCTCCACTACCCCGTTAGGTATGTGAAAGAATTTTTTTTCTACAATGCTTAAATGCAGGCTAAAGGAGAAAAGTCAAGAAAATACAGAAAATTTCCAGTTAAGAGATATCTCCTATTCATGTCAACTCTTGCTTTTTGATTCCACCAGATTCGAAATGTTTACCCTGTAGAAGATGGAATTATTTCTATTTTCATGGAAAACTCAGAAAACAAATAAGTTTATTAGTGAAAACTGGCTCTCAGCAAGATCTACTGTGGTGAGCGAGGTGAAGCTGGGGTGGAAATCAGAGATACTCTCTCTTCAACCTTCTTCTTAAAGCTACTACCTGAGTTCCTGTAAAAAGCCTCATGTTTTGACTGAACGTTTCAGGATGTCCTGAGTATTTTGTATCTCTCTTGTTTTAAATAGGCTAGATAAGGTTGAATATTCTATATGTGCCACAATGGGACTTGAATTGTAAAATGATTTTGGACAATTTTGTACCCTGAAAAAAAAGTAAATTCTTTAGTCAGTTCTAAAGAATGAACGAACATATTAACATCTGTTATGTTAATATATTGGGAAAATACAAAAATAATGTCAATATATTTCTATATGTTTAAGAAATATGTTAACACTTCTACTGTGTACAAACATTGTTCAAGGCACTGTAAAACATGCAAAGATGTAGAACACCATGACCTCTCCCCCTCAAGAATAACTTTCTATATATTTTGTAAGACAAGAATGACTTTTCTGGTTATCCTTCTGAGTTGATAGATTGACAGATACAATATTACTTACCTTTCATGGTATGATGCTCCCTGTTAAACCTATCAAGGCTTTCTTAGCAAATAGTCAACTCTTAAGAGGGAAGAAATGTCTTATGATCTGACAAGTTTTCGTTGTTGTTGTTGTTGTTGTTTTATTTTGTTTTGAGACAGAGTCTCTATCTGTTGCCCAGGCTGGAGTGCAGTGGCCCAATCTCGGCTCACTGCAACCTCCACCTCCCTGGTTCAAGCGATTCTCCTGCCTTAGCCTCCCAAGTAACTGGGACTACAGGCATGTGCCATCATGCTTGGCTGATTTTTGTATTTTTAGTAGAGATGGTGTTTCACCATGTTGGCCAGAATGGTCTCAGGCTCTTGATCTCATGATCCACCTGCCTCAGCCTCCCAAAGTGCTGGGATTACAGGCATGAGCCACCACACCCGGCCAATCTGACAGTTTTTCTGGCACTGTGGTCCAGTGGTCCAAGCCTGGCACATTGTAAGCACACAGTACATGTTGCTTTAGTAACACTTTGCCAAATCAGTACCCATTATGCATCCCCTCTGTTCTCAGGTCACGAATTGCTTCTGAAAAACTACTACTCACTTTGACCTGACCAACTTCACATTCTGGATCACTCCTCAAGTAGTGTGCTTACTTCTATTCTATGATTGTTCTGATTAAACTCTTGTGATTCTGTGTAATTATTCATATAAAAATGAGATTTCAGTAGCCCTAGGTGTAGGTTGCAGTGGATCAGAAGTATATAAAGACACAGAATAAACACGGTACATCTTCCAACAATTCAGGGGAAAAAACACCTCTTAAGAGTTGACTAGCTGCTAAGGAAGCCTAGATGGGTTTAACAGGACGTAAGGACAATGAAAGATAAGTAAAGTCAATTATAAGCAAAAAATAATGGGACAAAAATCTAAGTATTTTAATTGGTAAAAACAATATTTATAATAAATCTAGCATGACTAATTTATCTAAGAGAATGAAAACTGCATTCTTATAGATCATATGCAAAATAATAAAAATTTCCTGTTGATCCTGGGGAGCTATAGCATTCAGAAGTCTGGTTAGGAAAACAGAAATCATTCAAGGTCCTTCTAATGGAAGAGATTTAATATAAGATATTGGTTTCACAGGAGTTTTAGAATAATGGAAAAGTAAAACAGGCTACATTTCACTGTATGTGATATAGTGAATGGACACTTGGGAATATAATTATAAGTTAAAACCTTGAACACCTAATAAATATTATAAAGATTAAAATTTTATACTCAAGTTAATGTTATGAAAAACTGGA